TGGTTGTTTTGGACTTACTCTAAAGAAGCTTAAGGAAAAAAAGGATTAAGAGTTGATACACAAATTACTTAACGATCTTGCAAAATCAAAATTTAACATCTTAAAAAATATTCAAACTAACTATGGCAAATCTATACCATGGATTACCATTCAAAAATACAAAAGAACAAACTAATGGTAAACGTGACAACTTGAATGAACATCAATGAAAAATAAATAGTCTTTTCAACAAATGGTGCTGGACCCAGGGCTCTGAACCAGTTTGAAATGGTTTACTCATGGCTAATTGAAACAAGGGCAGTGTACACACTACACAACTACCAAATCTCTTGCACATCTTTGAAGACTGTCACCATTTCCTACGCATGTCAAAATATAATGTATAGGAGATTTTACCGCTATGTAATACGTATGCTGTCCTTGTTTCTATGGGCTGTGATTGAACCATTTCTAACCAGTTCAAAGCCCTAGCTAAGCAAACTGATAATCACATTTAAAAAAAAAAAAAAAAAAAACACCTCTTGACACATCTCTATCATGCACAAGAATCAGATGGAACTGACTCACAGACTTACATATAAAAGCTTTATTTGTAAGTATCTAGGAGGAAATTGTTATGACTTTGGAGTGTCAAATATGTTAGGGCACAAAAGCACAACTTATAAAAGAAAAACATTAATAAAATGGGTTTTCTCATGGAAAACTGCTCAACATTGTTTATCAACAAGGAAATGCACACTAGAACTACAATAAGATGCCACTCTTCCTACTGGAATAGCACCCTTAACACATAACTGGTACCAGTATAGTAATAACCACTTTGGAAAACTCTTCAGCAATTTCTTTTATTATGTTAAATATATTAATACCCTACAAGCTAGTCTGATTAGCTACTACAAGAATAAGCAAGTTGTTCCTTGGGAAGCCATCAAGGCAAGCAATCAAGTCCCTTCAGGACAAATCACCCTCTGACACTCAAAGGGAACACCGAGCAGACATGTAAGCTTGCAGATGGCCACGCGAGTCCACTGGTGGGGAGAGAGGGGGAAAGGTAGCAATGAAGATATGGGCTGCGTTCAACATGTTCCATAAACTCCCATAGACCTAGAGATGAGAAAGAGAAGAGGAAGAAGGGCTGGTTGCTCCAAAGTGTAGTGAGACCTGAGGGCTCCTGTGTCCATGGACAACGACATAGCCACAGAGGCCTAGAGCTGACAGTGAAGTATCCAGCTGATATGAAGTGCGGGGAGATGCACAAGAACACCCAAACTTGCAGATAGTACCCATCTGACCAAGCTTCAATGGCTTAATGATCAGAACTCAACTAAAGGAAGATAAAAGTTTTATAAAGCAAACAAGTGTAAATTGCTACAATTTTATGAACTTGGCCTATACTTATGGATGTAGTAGCTCAAAATACCAACTGAGAGGGAAAGAGTCTTCACATCAAGGATCAATCCTAGCCCCTCTGTATACAGGGTTGATATGGACAGTCAACT